TTTTATTTGTAAGTGCATGCAGGTGGGGTGTATAGATACCTGGGCATATATAAAGGCCAGAGGAAGGGCCTTGCTTTATATATTTCTTCCTTATTCTTTTGCGATAGTATCACTCATTGAACCTGCTGCTAGGCTGGTGGCCCAAAAGCTTCAGCAGTCCTGCTGTCTCCATCCTGCCACACTATGTGGTTCATAGTTGCATGGGTGGTTACATCTAGCTTTTTGCATGAGTGGAGTGTTGAGGATTTGAACTTAAATCCCCACTGTTGGGCAGCAAGGACTCTTACTTACAAAGGTGCCTTATCAGCTCCAACTGTAAGGCTTTTAAAGGCTCATGCAGTCAGTCTGTATTCTCACACAGAGTTGGTTATTGTGTTATTAGAGCAATGCAGAATACAATCAATTTGTGGGAATTTCAGGTAAGATGGATTTGGTCTAGGACTAGAGTTATAATAGCACAAGTTTAACATGCTTACGGTCCAGGGTGTGGTCTCCAGCATCACAGAAAGGAAAGGAGGAAGAAGAAATTGAGTCTGACTGGGCTCTGTGTACCTTTGGGCACAATTTATAATCCTTTTGAGTTTAAATTTTCTTTATGAAAAATCCAGATAATGCCTTTTGCATATTTATGTGTAAGATGCCTAACTTAGTGTCAGGCAAGCATGCAGCCATTCTCTTCTGCTATTATTAGCTTCTATTTTTTCCAGAATCACTTTAAAGGTATTGAGTTTTATGGGAATCCATGGGTGCTGGCTATAAGAATAATCCTTTCAGGTAAAAGGAATGGAGATGAAATCCATGGGAGTGAAAACCCAGTAATGCAGCCTTTTGAAGTAACGAATGGAGCTAATAGGATGGAATAAGGGGAATGGAGGTGCAGTCTATATAATATAAGTTTTAACATGCAGGACAGGGAAATCTAGAAAGGGCACAATGGAAGATGATACTGAGTACAGGGAAACTGGCTTTTGTAGAGAATAGGGAGTCAGTGATGAGGGTGGAAGGCATTATCTCTGGTGGGAGAATCTTGGACTTAGAAAGCTGAAGGCTTCCTGATTCTGAAACCTCACTTGTGTTTTGTTTCTGATGCTCCATTTTCCTTTACTTAGGGTTTCAGCTTTGGCAAGCAAGCATCTTTTTATTACACAAGACCTCATCACTCTGCGGATAGCATCTCTTGTATTTGTTTGATAGTTCAAACACTTGGTTCTTTCTTTGGAAAACTCCTTTAAAATTTCAATGTGGAGCTATAGTAGGTACTATTAAGTAGCCAGGTCTGCCTAAACGTATGTCCTGTGAAAGTCTTGTTTTTCATTTGCAGGATGATATGTTAGTATAGAAAAACATGAGCAGATCATGTGGCTTTTTTAAGACTTGGCTCTAAGAGCTTATAATTTTGTCATAATTGAAGCTTCAAAAAAGATTTTATACTCTGTCAACTGATTAAAAATAAGTAAGGATTAAAGTATATGAAGGGACTACCCTGCAATATTTCAGCAATTAATACTTCAGTGTTAATGTTTTATTCTCAAATGGGTTTGCATATTTAAATTTATTCTCAACCAAGAAGCAAGGAGAAATAGAATTTCAGTCATATTAGGCGCCTCACTCAGTCCCTCTTCATTAAAAACAGATCATACAGGCTGTGTTTTAGAGTATGACTATGGTTTCCAAATTATTCCAGAACTCACAGCATCTAAGGTTTTTGAAAAGACTGTCCTAAGGGGATTTGTTTTTATTCATTTTGTGAACTGTGGCATTGAATCAGTGTATTATCCTGTGTTCCAATCTTGGGGGGATATCGTGGTTTTTGAACCTTCATTGTTACTTCGTCTGTTTGGTTTACGCAGATTAAAGTACTATACCTCATACACTCTTTCAGGCTTTGGGGTTTCACTGTTGAGGTAGGTCTAATCTCTCTCTGCTCCTGAGCCTGTTTTCTCACATGGTGTGTAGGTGTGTTGTGCTTTCTCTGTCGCTGCAGCCAGGGTCTGTAGAGGGCTTCCTGCATCCTTGCTGTTCAGTGTCCACCTCAATTTGTTTTTGGCTTTCAGCATTAAGCCTTCAAAGATCTTTTTGCTTTCTGACTATTACAGAAACTGGCTCAGAGTTCTTACTCTTGGACAATTATTTAATTGCTTATGGACAATTGAAAATGTCTATTATGAATTCCCTTATTTTAAAGTGTTGAAATGATTGGTCAACACAGTTCCTGGTGACTGCAAAAAAGTTGTTTTGAAACATCAAAAGGCTCCTTCTTTACTGCTTTGGCACTGTGCTTTGCCTTGATATTGTGACAGACCCCTCCTATTGAGAAGTTAGACGTAAGACTTAACTGCTTGAGTTGGTTCTGTTAGGACATGCTAACAGAAGTGAGCAATTGTTGACTTTGAGGTTACTAACAATAGCCAGCTTTTTTTTTTTGATAGAAGAAAATAAGTCTATGAAATAAATCTAATGAAAATTTAGAATTTAAATATCTCATCCACAACTTGGTGAACAGCAGTTGTGTGAATATTTTAGAATATCACTCATTTTAACTTTTTAGTACATTTTTGCAATCAGTTTTTTACGTAGAGGCCTCACTTCTACCACTGTTGATTAAGACAGTAGAAAAATGTCATTTGCCCTACCTGTTGTTAAACTAAACTATCCTTAATACATCTATCTGTTCCAAGAGTTTGGCGTACTTGTTATATGATAATTCAGACTTTACTTAACACTAGTTGCATGAAACACGTGGTGATTGGTACTTAAAATTTATGAACTGTAAAAACTTTTCTACATGGTTTACCTGTATCAATCCAACTAATTTTTTTTTTTTAATACTTCCTTCACTTTCTTTCTTCCTACTTTTTTATCCACCCCCTTTCCTCTGGTGTGGTATCTTTTAAGAAGCAACTGTAATTAGAAGTGTTAGTGGATTTCATGAAGACTGTCTGTAGACTTCTCAGTGCCCTTCATTTGCATGGGATAAAGAAGAAGAGAACAGGGTCCTTGAAGTAGGATTATAGCTTGAAGTGTCATCATGCCTAGAACAGTGCTGATTCCAATGAATGCCAGTCAGAGGGGAATCCCAGATCCATGGGAACACTTGAGGAAGTCAGAGAGCACACTGTCCTCCCAGTGTACCCAGCATACTACTGGGAATTGAGTTCCAGAATTTGAACAAAACAAGTTATATGAGGTGACATGTTTTGTCCATAGAATCAGCAAGAAAATGATAAACAGAAAAAGATGACAGCAGGAATGCAAAGTACATGCATGGGCCAGTCCAGCCAGGAAGCCTGACTTCAGAGTTCTCAAAACTAAAGGAGAGAAGCACGTATCTTACACAAATGGTTTTATGTGGGAGGCTAAGTGCTGTCAAATATGTGCTACATTACCTTAGCTCATGCTGGATGAGGGCTTTCTGTCCTCATCTGCCTGTAGCTAGGATGGTTTCTATTGTTGTTTGCGGTGTTTGATTTTGATTTTGATACTACAAATGCTGTAAATGGAGGTGAGAGCCTCAGTTTGGCTAAATACAGGATCTACCCACTCTCCCAAGGATGTTTGAATCACATTTATTCCATGGACTTTTTCATATGAAAGACCCATAGAGTTGAAATCTGTTAAGCCTGCACTTGAAACTGAGCTGTTACAGGGCCTTGGCCTAATTACTTGTCTGCCCTTTTTGTAGGTAGATATCCATTCTGTGTGGTGGACATTGTTAATAATATGCTCTGTCCCCACCACTGCACATAGAAGGCTAAAGGAGGTCCCATGTGCTTACCCTAACAGGTTCTTCTTAGTCAGGAGGAAACAGAGGGTTATCCTTTGTGGACAGCCAGCCCAGCATCATTCTTCCAAAGCTGCAGAAGGCCCTCAGTTTTTTAAATTAAATATTAATTGCCTGAGAGGAACAGTGCTAGAAGTTAATGATCAGTGGTTTGCCAAATAATTAAATACATTTCAAATGCACATGTTACTATTCCTGAGAGTTGTATGTAAACTATCAGACATCAAACATTGTTGGTTTGACTACTAAGGACAGTGATTCTTATATATCTCAGTTACATACCAGTAAAATTATGTTGGTAAGGTTCATTCATCAAATTATAGTTTTGCAAGGGGAAAATTTAAAGCATTGTGTAACAGTGATCTTTTGAGAGCCTTGTTCCTTACAGTGGATACTGAACCACTGAGGATAGGCAACTTCTGTTTTGTTCAGTTCTAAAAATTTATCTTTTTTATATTGAAATTTTATTTTAAAATTTTGTGATACATCTATTTAAATTTTATTTTAAAACTAAAGAAATCAGTATTCTAGTTTGGAGAAAACAACTTTTAACTGTAGCTGAAGGCTACTGGGACAAGTCAGTTCTTACAGTTCTCCCAGCTCATGTTGACATCCTGTGTGTTTTCTCTGGCTAGTGTAACTCACGGGCACATCTTGATATTTTCCTCGTGGGGTAAAAACTGATCGGAAAATGTCGAAAAGTCCGTGCTTTTGTGAGAAATCATTAGTTAAAGATTCAATGAGTGTACTTCAGTATTCCTAATAAAATGTTTCATATAAGTAATACAAAACACTTTCTGGTTATTTGATGGCCAAAGAAATACTGGTGGTTTACCAAAAAGAAAAGAAAAGAAAAAAAAAAAGAGTGCTGTGTTTTGAATTTCATTTGATTAATCATGGGGTTTCTAAACTTGGGTCTCCTAAAAAAAAATGTGTGTTTGATCAGAAAGTATTTATAAACTTCACTTCTTGTAGATTTGTGTGTTTTAGGATAATCTGTGGCTTTCTGTGACCATTCTCTCATAGTTAAAAGTCACAAGGATTACCAACTCTGGTCTTCATGGAAGTTAAATATGAGTCATTTAGATAATTATTTTTTGTATCATATAAATTAAGCAAATGTTACTAAAATGTCACTGCACTGTTTGTTTTGCCTGTCAGTTTATGTACACCGTGTCTTTAAGGTTTTGAGCCTTATTTATTGCTTCCATTTGAACAGGTGTCTCAATGCTTGTACCTACTGCAAAACTAAACATGCCAGAGGAAACCTGGCCAGCTATCCCATTGATGAGCTTGTAGAGAGAGCCAAGCAGTCCTTTCAAGGTAAGGGTTTCTAGAATTATGTTATGAAGTAAGCTTTCTGAATAATATTCATCTTCTAAGCAATACTTCCTTTTAAAAAGGTTCCAGTTAGCTGTCTGAAGTTTAAAAATATGCCTGCTCAGCTAACAGGCTAGTATCAGATGTAATTGCTCAAGCTGTATTTATATTGGGTATGATCCTGTACCACTTTTCCATTTAACCACTCTCAGGTAAACAACACATTATAGATCACTCTTCTCTAGACAGCACAATAAAGGTAAAATAAGGGACGAGTGAGCTAAATAAACAAACAAAAAAAATAAATGGGTGTATGTAAGCAGCTGTGAAATTTGTTAGGGTTTTTGTGGACTGAATGAAATATACAGCTGAATGAAATGAGACTGGGGGCCGTGGTACTGGCTGGTGGGGCGGGGGTCTTGTGAGGAATGTTCTGCCTGGGCTGCTCACTTACTACTGCCTGAATCACTACCTCCTGCCCTCAGCAAATAGCAAGCCTTATCTTTAACATGAGTCACAGTTGTTTTGACACATAACTGCTTAAGCCATGAACTTCCTCTTTTGTCTTTGTTTGTAATCTGTGTATATAACAGTGGTATGTTTTCATACCCAACATGCAGAGAACCTATTGTCTCTCATCTTGTGGGTTAATAGTTACTGGCAATGTACTTCTCCCTTTAGCAAGTAACTTGGAAAACTTCATTCAGTACTCAACCCTGAGTGTCACAATGTTTGTGTTCTAAACACAGTTCTTTATTCAGGTTATATAAAGCTTTTATCAACATGAATTTGTGTAATAGAGTAAAAGATACCCTGATTCATTTATTGACATAAAAGCTACTTTTTTTTTAACCATTTGTTTTTAACTTATTCCTTTCCTATGTTCACATTCAACAGGCACTGATGAGAAACAAAGGGAGCTTGTTGGCTCTTGGTAACACTCTGTTTTTAGTGCTAGGTTTTGTTAGTTCTGGGAAAACCTGAAAGATTGTCTTTTCTGCAGCATGATTCCGGGAAACATTTTCCAGGAGGGGTAGAAGCTTGGATAGAAACCATCTGTATGTATCTGGCCTGGCATTTTTGACTGGTGCTCGTTTTTCCATGTATTTGTCTGCTAATGGGGATATTAAGTATGACTGAGCTATATACCAACCACTACAAATATAGGAAGCAGCAGTACTTGTGAAAGCAGCAGCAACATTGTGAAATTCCTAGACTTTTCAAAAATCTATCTCATTTCACTTGGAAAGACTGAAAAATATAAAGGGATAAATTTTTATGACTGTTTAGGAAATGAAGAATTTTATTTATTCATTCATGATTGATACTTATGTTTCGTATGGTTGTATCATGGCTTACATAGGCCTCTCATGTGTCACATATGACTTAAGAAAAAGGGAACATGGATTTCATGAACTGGTTAGAGAGCTTCTGTAAATGCTTTCACCTTAGCAGTTGGATTTCTCTTCTGAGCAGCGTGCACTTTCTTCCGGGGTTGTTGGTAGTGTCAGCTCTTCAGCTTTGGGCTAGTGATGATGAGTGACTCAGCTCATCACAGGCTAGCAACAGTTAGTGGCTGCTCACAGAGCAAGTTCCGGAAGATTGCGGTAGTAACTTTCACCAGTAGTTTGTGTGTTATTTTCATTCTGAACTGAGTGTTAACAATGTAAGCTTGAAACTTGTCCTCTTGTTATCTGTATCTTAGAGTTGAAACTCAGACCCTGGTTCTTAGGCTGCTGGCTCAGTTGATTGCCACGTGGCTTTGTTGTGGAAGCACTTGCTAAGGGAACCGGTGTGTGCAGGAGGGTTGCTGTAGGAAGTTTGGTTTTGGGACCCTGCTCTGCTGCTCCCTGCCAGGTGATCTGAGCAGGCTGTCGGACCTCTCCAAGCTGTAGTTGCCCCTTTAACATTATCTGTTGTCAGAATTCTAGATGGTGTATGCCTATTGTTGACTGTGTGGAAGGGAATGAAGTAGATATGTTTCTTATAGTAAAGAAATCTAAAATGAATCCAGGAGGAAAAAACTAATTTGCGTAGAGCATTGAAGCAACAGATGTAAGTGACTGTGGTGGTCCAATCCCAGGCTTTACGTTTGCTTTTAAGTGTGTTCTATGAGAAATGTCTTTATAGATGAGCTAGTTACTATGACAGCCGCTTTTAATTTTCTGATTTTGAAAGATACAAATTTTCATCTCATCCTAGGAAATACAAACGTATAGGCACATGCTGGAAATATGTTGAGTGGGTAGTGTTATCTTTGTTTCTGCAAAGGACCTTGAATCTTTGAGGGTCTCATCAAATTTCAAAGTCTTCATTTTCAAATCACAAAAGATAATTTTACAGGTAACAGAATAGAAGAAATGTCCCTTTTTATTTCTAAGGTTTTAATTTATTCTTTAATAAATTATGTGCCTTTGAGCCACAACCGTTTTACCTTTATTTAGAAATCTTGCCCCATAATGAGTAACTAACATGGCTCTGTGAAGTTACTCAAAGATGAGGTCTAAGTATGCGACCAGTAAATGCCTTATTAGTACAGGTAAATTTCCTTCCTTAAAATCGTCCCCCTAAGCCCCTTCTCTTCCCTTCCCCTCCCTTTTCCTTTTCTGGATTTTTGAGAGAAGGTCTTGCTGTTTGGGACATTGAACTTGCTATATTGAGCAGGGTAGCCTCAAACTTGTAGCAATCTTCTTGCTAGAATTACAGGTATGTGTCACTGTACCCTGTTTGGTGACCTTTTCTCTCCCTTTCTTATTTTGTTTACTGGCTTTTGTGCACCAGTAACATGATTTTTTAAAAACTAAACTTATGTACACTAAGATTAGAAGTCAGGTTTTCTGTCATATAATAAAATGCACAATAAGTATATAATTCCTTCCTTAGTGTCAAAATCTTGAGATGTTTTATGTTTATGAAAACTTATCTCCTATCTCTATCGATAGCGAATGTACAGACAATTGAATGTACAGTCCAATTGAAAGGCAAGCAGCACTTAGAAAAGAATGTAAACCAGTCTGGAAATCATTCTGGATAAAATGGCCTATTGAGGTGTCGAACCTGCTGCACTTGAAGTCTCCTGCCCAGAGTGCGCTTATGAACTTTTGAATAGCAACATTGAAATCAAGATTATATTCTGTAAACAGAAACATTAATTTCCCTTATACATAAAGCATATTTAGTTGGTTTCATAGCTGCTTTTCTCTTCTTCTTGCCCACCTTAGACCTCTGGACTCTTTTTACATTCCGAGTGTTCTATCGTTGGGAGCAGATTGACATTTGTGTGTTGGGAAATCCTCTTCCTGCCTTAGTCTCTCTTCCATGTCAGGATGTTTTTTTTTCCCTTTAACAAAATCACAGGATAAACATGATTCCTGGGCTGAGATTGCTGCGCTCCTTGTAGCTGCGTGTTTAGGTACCTAGAAGAACATGTCAGGCAGTGACCAGGACTTTGTTGGGGCCAGAATGAATTCACAGACTGGTGTTCCTGGTTTTTTTTTGTTTGTTTGTTTGTTTGTTTTTAGGATATTTGTATTGATTTTTTTCCTAGCAGCTAATCAATCAGTTTCAGTTGTGTTCTTGATGGAGCGAACCTTTGTGTGTGTGCTGGGTGAGTGGTGTGGAAACAGCACCTTCATTGCTGTCTCTGAATCAAAATGTAGGGATGATGGATGGGCTGTTTTCACAGCTATCCTGTGCTTTTCTAGATCTTGTTTGTGCGTTACCCCACCCCACCCCCATGCACACCATTTCCTGCCCTCATAAATCTGAAAAGCCCTTGCACAGTAAGTGACGTTAACCAGTTATATGATTTAACATAAATTATGGATGAAGTAATCAGAATAGGAAGAAAATTTCTTGATGTCTAGTGATTTCAGTATTATTGTTGAAATTTTGAAAATCAAATTCAGAGCTTAAGGCTGGCGAAGAGCACTACCTGTTATGGCTAAGATTAATTGTGAAAAGCAAAGAGAAGGACATTGCTTCTTCCTACGCTGGGTAGTTAATGCTGGGAGCAATATTGGATTTTCTGTTGTATTATCCAAATTGCTCAGTTGTGGAGTTTGCATGAAGCCCCGACTTGACTATCACCTCTAGTGATGATTACTGTATAATGATTTTACTCCAAGATAAAAAGGGGACCAATAATGGCATTCTGTTATTTTGTGTGACAGTTAAGTGTCTAATTCTCTCATTTTTTCCATTTGTACAATATTCAAATAAAATAATCAAGTAAATATCTCTTATAGATCACTTTCATTTGCATGTTTGCTATACATTGTCAACTCTAGAAGGGATTTAAGTATCACACATTAAATGATTATATGTAATGGACTATGAAAATGAAAGCCTTGTAAAGCTGTGCTCTACTTTGAAAGAGGGAAGATTATTTTGCTAACCTGGAAGTCTTGGCTATCTAGGAAAGCAAGAAAAGGAAAATCTCCATCATTTCATGAGCACATGAAGGCAAATACATAGTGCACAGTGAGACATCTATTTGCTTGTAGGCTTGGAACACTAGCAGGCTCATTTATCATCATCCAGATAGGACTGAAGACCTGGCTGACAGTTATTGAGTACTTATTTTGCAAAGGATAGGGATTAAAAAGATTAAAACCACATGGACTGTGTTTTAAGGCACTCTTCTCTGTTTAGGAAAGTTGGTACCGAGTGGAAGTAATGAGACAGTGTCTCACCTCACCCTCCTTGGCCTACAGCTTGCTATGTAGCTGAGAATGACCTTGTACTTCTGACCCTCCTGTCTCTCCCTTCAAAATGCCGGTATTATGGGCATGCATCACTGTACCTGGTTTTGGAATGGTGAAAAATTAAAGTCTACAGAACCATGAAGCAAGTCTTAGGATAAGAGCTCATCAACCTTTCTTTAAAATAGAAATAAGAGCCTTTGGAGTTGAAAGCATACCTGAATATCTAGCATGGTGCCAGCTGGTCAGCATCCTTTATGTTTCTCTCTACCCTCTCTAACACTGGTATTCCCTGCTGGG